GTTGGAGCCAGTGCTTTCAGAGCAGTCATAGAAAGCTATGATAGAGAACAAGGGTGTAGAGAAATCAACATGTGGCTAGAAGATGAGAGGTTAGAGGAAGCAAGTTACTGCCTACTGCCAACATTTTGTTTTAGATATATTACTGAGGGGATTGAGATGAGATGTAGATTTCTAGCACTTACATCCCTACGGTGGCCCCAGGAGAGAGCCCCCTGGCCAAAGTGCACGGAAGGGCTGAAAGAGAAGCCCCCTGGCCATGGCAGCCCCCGGACGGATCTGTTTCTCCTTTTTCTGTATGATACGTGGGATTTTGGAAGGCCCAGAAATTGGGAGACATTGATATGTTGAGGGATTTCCCTTTCATTGTGGTCCCCGGACAGGAGCAGCAGTGGGAGGCTTTGTTGTATGGTGACCTGTGAGACATTTTGTGTGAATCCAAATGGAGGGGTTTGACACAGGCAACTGAAAACTTGTTGCAGCCTTAGAGAAATCTGCTTTGAGCTGTAGATGTTAATGTCTTAATGGGGAGGGTGGTTTCTCCACCCCAGCTCTATGGGTGCTAATTGCTGCAGAGGGATTACAGCAAATTAAGCATTTGGCTATGCATGCTGTCTGAGCTGTAGCTGAGGATGGAATGCAAAGGCAGTCTTTTATTAGTATTAAGCAACAGTCCCAAGAACCATATATGTCATTTGTGGATAGGCTTAAGAACTCGTTGGAAAAACAGGTTGATAACAAGCAGGAGAGAGCTCTTGTGTTTCAACAGCTAGTGATTGAAAATGTGAATGCTGACTTCGAAAAATACTGCATGCTCTGAAGAATCCCACTACTAAGGAACTGATGCAACAAAAGCTGCTGGAGTGGAAGCTATCGGATCTCAGCAACTGGAAGCAAGGTTTGCAGAGCCTGAGTTTATGGTTCATTCACCACCGCAAGAAAAGGAGTATCAAACCTCCAGGCTTGGTGATAGTCAGTATGTGGGAGCTGGAGCTGCAAAAGCTGCTGCTGAGATGTATGCTGGTGTTTGGAGTTGCACTATTCCAGCTGTTGGCATTGTTGCAGTGTATTTTTCTTAACCTTTTAGCAGTTGTTCAGTGCTCCAGAAAATTCTAAGATAAGCCTAACAATGTTTAAAGTATGTTTGAAAGTTGTGCTATGTCTGAATTCTAAACTGGAGAACAGTATTTGCTGTAAAAATGATGTGTTCATGTGCAGTAGATTATCAATATAGGAAGCTTTTCTCATATTTGGTTGTATAATCCATCTTGACTGGCTAATGTCTTACCTGCACCTGCCTGGCTTTCTTAATTCTGGTTCTGATTATATAATTTCAGTGATTTAAATAATAATAGATTTCCCTATTTAAAAACAAAAACAAACAAACAAACAAAAAAAAATACAAGAAAGGGGGAGTGCAGGTATGACCCCTTAGGAAAGAGTAGCTAAAGCATGCTATGTTCTTAATTTTTTTTAATCATTTACAGTGATAAAGTGGGACTGAGGCTATGCTTTTGTCTTAATAGGAGTATGTCCAAGATGGATACCAGCATGATGAGTCTGGCCATATCATCATTTGCTGTAACATGAACACAGTACTTTCGTCAGTGGTTTGGACTCTCACCGACAAGACGCTTTGTCAGCTGCCTCACCAAGGAGTCACAAAAATTGGAATCCTTGGGTTAGGTTAATATGGACTATTGTTTGTGCTCTAAAGAACCCATCGTTTTTCTTCTTTCTCTACTAAGAAGAGAAGGGGGAGATGTGGGATAAAGAAAGTCATTATCATGCTAATGAGTAAAAAAGCTTAGTAACTTAAGCCAGATGTAAACACACACAAGGCACCTGGCTCCCACATGTAACCAGTTGTTCTTGCACGGGTATAAAAGGTTGTAAGCACTTTCAATAAAGATCCTTCATTCTGCACCAGCAAGGGAGTCTGTGCCTCTTCTGCCACATATGCAGGGGAGCTCAGAGCCCTCTTGCCACACAACTGAGCATTAAGCGTTGATCTGCCTATGCATGGGAAGGCTCATGGAGGGATCTAGACTGGCTGAATAGCTGGGCTGAGGCCAACAGGATAAAGTTCAACAAGACCAGTTACAGGTCTGCACTTTGGCCACAGCAACCCCAGGTGATGCTACAGGCTTGGGGCAGAGCAGCTAGAAGACTCTCCAGAAGAGTGTTTAGGCACTAGACTAGGCTGCCTGGAGAGGTGGTGAGGCTGCTGTCCTTGGAGATGTTCTAGAAACATTCAGATGTTGTACTGAGGGGCATGGTTTAGCGGGAAATATTGGTGATAGGTGAATGGTTGGACTGGATGATCTTGGAGGTCTTCTCCAACTTCTGTAATTCTATGATCCCCTGAAATACTTAGAGGTTTAATGAATTAATTTTATTCAAGGACAGTAAAATGATGCTCTGTCAGATACTACTTTTCATCTTGTTGTCTAAGTTGAACTTTTACCTACCAGTGTATTCCTATGACCACTTAAGGTAGGTTCTGCTCTTTGGAGTTCTATACTTCAGTGAAGTGTCAGTAATTACTCTTAATTTTCTGAGCATGTGTGCTGCTGAGAGTGGACTCTCTCAGGCATTTTAATAACTGTCAAAGGATAACAGTATACTTCTAACAAACACATTTTTGTGATGTTTAACTGAAGTCCTTTTTTGCATATATTTTCATGAAATTCAAATGTCTCTGGAAAAAAAAAAACCATTGGACCAAAGATGATGTAAATGCTATCCCATCATTGAGCAGAATTACAGCAGCAACAACATTGACTTAACACAAAGTGTAATGTGTTCCAATTCTGTTTAAAAGCATATGGATTAATTTTATGCTTTGACCAAAGTTAAATGAAGCTCAGTAAAGTATTTGCACTGTTTCAGCTAGTAACCACAAATTGACTCACATCTTCCTTCTGTTCATGTAAGAGAGACCTTGTGATTTGATGGTTTTCTTTTGCTTTGTTTGTTACAGAGCAAGAGTCCATTCTAATAGGAGTACTGAAAGATATTGTGGTAATTAGGTTGAAACTATCATCCAGTCACAGAAGAAAGGTCAGGACTTGAGAAGTGTTATTGCCAAAGCTAAGCCCTCTATCCCAGTGCAGCTACTTCTAAATGTTTGCAGTGTTCCTGGGAATCTGGATTCCACAGCATCCTCAGGTAGGAAACTCACCTGGTCCAATTTAAGCCTATTAATTTCTGTCTTAATCCATTAGGCACAGGGAGTAACTTATTTTCTCTTAGCAGCAGCCTTCTGTGTATTTCCAGATTGTTCCTATGTCTCCCCTCAGGTTTCTCTTTTCTAGTCTAAACAAAGCCAGGTCTTTCAGTGTGTATTCATAGGTTCTGCTTTCTAGACTTCTGTATATTTTTGACATTTTCTGTACTTTTTCCCGTTCTCTGGTGTTCTTTGTGGAAGCACAGCACTCCCTGAAGGTTACATCATTACAGGTCAAGTCAGTGCTGTGTTGTCTGACTTGGCTAATCTTAAATATATCACTTGTAATTAGACATTCTGCTGTGGTGTTTTTTGTTTACAGCTATATAGCATTACTGACTTCTGTTCTGTTTGCTGGAGCTCCAGTGCTTTTAAAAGGAGTTACAAGCAAGATAGTTGTTGCCCCTCTCAAATGTGTGTAGCAGAGCCTTCTTCCTAATGGCGAAACTTGTCGCTTTTTGAAGTTCACTTCTCTCACGTAATTCCAGCTCATTTTCCCAACTGGTCAAGATTTGACTGAATTTGGATCCTGAGTCCTTCCTAAGATATTACTGTCTGTAAACTTAATAAGCAAAGATTCTGGAAGGTGGAAGAAGGAAGAAGTTGCCTGCTGACTTGGCTCTTAGGTTATATATTCACTGCCAAATATGGTGTTCTTAGTTTACTTAGTTCAGATGGGGGCTTGGGGAGAGAATATTCAGTGATATAGTCAGCTGAAATTACTACTTTATTCTGTCTTTCCTGTGAAAACAGAGTACTTCAGCTTCTGCTAATGTTAAGATCAACATCATGTGGGCGTTATCAGTACTTTTCTATCTGGCAGTGCAAAGTTATGTTCATCAGAACTGTGTTGGTGCATTATTCCCCTGTTGTAATAAATACTTGATCATGCACTTATATTCAAATGTTTCTTATCTGAGGACTGGACTCTGACACAATTTGTTGGCCTTGAATCTAACTACTTTGATAGATTCAAAGAGTTCTTAGATGAGAAAAGCAAGTACAAGTCCTTGGACCAGGCGCTGTAGCAACAATGATGTCACATTTGTTTTACATCTAATCCCTACAAGTGTGTTAAAAGAGCCATTCCTTATTTGCACTGATAAAACTGAGATGTCACTTTGAAGAGAAGTCCTTGTGTTATGATCACATCAAATGCAATTACCCTGAATCAACAGAGCCATAGTGCAACATCTATTGGAAAGGGACAGAAAAAAATGTATTGATGTTATCTTGAAGAATAAGGCAACTTCTGAATATTTATGTAGCTTTCATACGAAAGCTACAGAGTTCCACTGCAGGACTGGCCATACTAGGAGAGTGACTGGAGGCTCCCAGCTGCTGTTTCTCTCATTAGTGGTGTCATATACAGGGAACTTCCATGTTATTGCACAACACTTCTCTGAGCAGTTGAATTAACAGAAGAAAGGAATTACACAACTTAAGGGTGGAGGAAAAATGCAGATTATCCAGAGTCAGCATTTTCTCCATTGTTACAGGATCTTGATGTGGCACTTAATTTTTATCCTTTACTTTTATTGTTAACCTGATTTTACTGTGTGCTGAAGTTAAAAGAAGACAGGATTTCAAAATTCTGAGACTTGTTAGTCTTAAAACCTTCTTAATCCCACATACTTTCTAATCTCTACATAAAAGAAGAGTTCTAGTTGTCTACAAGCATTATCTAAAGTCTTCATGCAGGATGTGAATAGTAAGGCTGCCATCTCTTACAGGGAGCAAGCTCACAGGTAGCTAAATCTGTGCTGGCTGTTCTACTGCTTTGAGCATCAGTGAGACAATAAGAAAGAAATGGCAGGTGTAGCTTAAATATAGGCCCAAATTCAAACTGACTGAAATGCTGGTTGGGTATTTCCACTTGTTTGCAAAGGCTGCAACAGCAAACTAATCTTGGAGCTGACTTGCAGTGTGAGCTGTGAAAAATAACAGCACATAGTAATGTAGTTGCTTTTCTGCTTCCATGCTATTACTCAGAGTCCTGCCAAAATGCTTGGATTAAGCACTTTCTGCTTTCCCAGGATAGCACCTGCCCCTAAACTTGCTGTTTAAGCTCTCATTTTGGAAGAGAGAAATGCCTGCATATAGTATACTCTCCCACAATACCCAAAGGTATCTCATTTTACCAATTTGTAGACTGGTCTCACAAGCAGCTACCAATCACTGTGCAGATAATGTTGCCTCATATCTGTGTGCGCCAATGAGCTGACCAAAAAGCTATGCCTCAGGGGAGGATGCTGGTTTCAGGTGGTAATGGCTCCAGAAAGAATGAGACCAGAGGCTGAATGCATTCCTGGCCCAACTCCATACCCTTAGCTAGGGTTACACCAGGGGATCTTGGACTAATGAGTATAAAACACTCTCCACCATTGTAGATAAAAAAGACATTTCAAGGGGAGGGAATGGAAGCTGAGCAAATGAATGAAATGCCTTCTTCCATATGTGATTCTGGGCTGTGAGGTAATGTTGGAAAAAGTTTTTATTTTACTCTAATTGAAACTTCTGTGATCAGTGGTCTGACATGGTTATATGCTTTCTTTTACCCTTTCTGTCTCTCTTCTCCCACACATGAAATCATAATATCTCTGTCAAAGGAAGCACAATATGGAGAATTGGGATTTAGTTAATGCAAATTATCTTCTGTCTTAACACAGGAGTATGATTTTTTTTTACTCATCCCAAATCTTTTCATCCACTGCAGCTTTTTGATTTCGTGGCAGTAAATCACATTGACTCTGCTTAAGAAAACAAAGTTATATAGTGATGGTTGAGAAAATCTTCTCATTCAGGAGTCACACTGCTATAGTTTCATTTTTTTATGTTTTTACACTTACAATCTCTAGATTGCCAGTTGGTGCTTTAGTACAAATAATTTTAGTTGATATTTCTCTTTTCAGCAAATTCTGAAATAATCCACATTCTGAGGACAGTTGGAATAACCTAAGATACAGATTAAAATAAATACTGAAAGAATGATGTAGAAATAAATATTGTTTGGGTGGAGGAGACTGGAGATTTAAAGCATTTTTCTTCCCAGTGTGGACACTCACTAAGTATGATGATGCTGCACACCCTTTATATATATCACAGTTTATGCACACCATCATTATCCTACGTAGTCCTCTGGCACACAGACCGGAAAAGCACTTCAAAATTAATAAATGACAATTGGAACTAACACCCAGCAACATCTCTGTGCACTTTGTATTTACTGTATGTGGTTAATACATTTTTTTTATAGGTGTCTTCCGAAGTAATGTAATTAAGAAGGGAAATAGCTTTGTCCCAGAGGGAAACCTGTAAGAAGGGTGAGGTTTCCTCTTGTAATGCTTTTTCCAAATTTCTTTATGGTAAAGTTGCCAAATTATATGATAGATACATGAGTTTCAAGTCTGAACCTTTTCTAAGATTCTCTAGGAGCATGAAGTCCCTGTACTTCCTTCTAAATGGAAAAGAGGAAAGGATGCCCTATAATGAGGCTGGTAAAATGATTCATTATAAATATTTTGGTCTAATTGGCTTGTCTGAGGTTATATACGATAACAAAACTACAGCCAAAGTAGAAGGAATTTTTTGCTTTAGACTTGTCCCTATCATCAAGCAACTAACAGAGGACTTCCCCATAAAAGTAACATTCTGAGTGACAGACATGAAATGTTTCTATAAAAAGGATAATAAAATAAAATGAG